AATTAAATTTTTTGAAAATTTAAAGATCTAAATTATAATTTTTTAAAATTTCGAGGCCGAAACCCCTACAGATCTCTATTGCATTTCGTCCCTAAGCAAAAATGTTATATATATTTTTTATATTTTCGATTGTATTTGAAAATATTATGAATTTGTATAACTTTTCAATTATAAACCCTGAAACTATAACAATATAATATTTTTAGTTTAACCGAAAATGTTATAAAATTATGTATTTTTTTAGATGGAACATAAATTTATGAATTTGTATAACTTTTCAATTATAATACCGACTTGTGCAGAAAATTCACTTTACAATTATAATACTAAAATATCCCAAGGAATATTGATGGATTCGTCATGCAAAATTTGGTTGGCTCACGAAGTTTTAATTCTATATACAAAGGAATTCTTGAAGAGAATGGAGCAATAAATGCAGAAAATGTTAATTTCTTGGCTGAATGCGAGACCTTGAAGAAAATTCGACATTAAAATCTTGTCAAGGTATTAACAGTCATTTCGAGGGTCGATTACAAAGGCAATGATTTTAAAACCTTGGTTTACGAGTTCATGGAAAATGAAAGCTTGGAGTACCGGTTGCATCTATCTGTTAGCATGATTGATCCTGAGACGATGAGAAATTTGAACTTCTTCCAAAGAGTTAATGTGGCCATAGATGTTGCTCATGCATTGGAATCTTTGCACCATCATTGTGACTGGTAGATATAAAAGTTTTGTGGATACATTTGTTTAGTCAGTACTGGAGAACTGCAGTTGCATGCAAATAGTTTCTCAACATATTCTAAGCATCAAGAGATAGTATATCGTGAAGTAGAATTAAAGATTAACGGTAAAGTCATATAATTAAATTAAAATTTAATTTTATAATTAGAGAAATTGTAAAATTTAATGGTATCTGAAATAATTTATCATTGAATTTTAACGTGATTGTTAGATGGTAGGTAGTGGGATGAGCCACTAGAACCTTTAAATAAGGTTCGAATCATGACGTTTGCAAATGAAACAATTTGAGTTGAGAGAGTCGTTTTCTTAATGGTATATACTTATTTATCAACCAATTTAATTAATGTAAATACACGTCTTCCATTCTTCCTCGGTGTCTGCAATCACAATAAAAAGGATGCATTGAAATCTGATCTCATATGAACTAAGCAAAAAGATCTAAAATCAAACTTATAGCAATACGAAGAAACAAGCTGAAGTAAAGAAACCAGTTCATCATTAAGAAGTTTGTAAACTTATGGCGGATTGAATGTGCCATTCTTAGTTAGTCTTCAGTTTTCAGCTAAGAATTATTCTAGACAAAACGAAAAACAGTAAAGTCTTCACAATCCTACAAACATTGGAACAGTTTCCAGTTGGGAAAATGATGGAACAATGAAGCATAAGGATCCAAGATGCTCAGTGCCTTTGCTATAGCCTCAAGGCTCGGCATTTTGGACGAAATCGACGCAAGTGCGACACTTGCAATCGAGAAATCGGCACTTGTGGCACCCGAAACAGACACAGGTAGTGCAACCTTTGCAAGTAGGTGATCGAGGGCAGCCCCTGCAACTCTTCCTGCTTGCTCGTTCTTCATCAGCTTTGCAGGTGATTCTGAAAAAAAAGTAAAACCAACAAATGCTAAGCTACATGTTATAATATGAGCTTGATCGAATTCGAAAATCGATTACTTGTCGAGAACTTACTTCTCATATGGCCAGTTAGCACACCTCCACTTTTTTGCATTCAAAGCATCATGATACGTACGGCATTCCTCGTCCGTCCGGAGTCGGAACCTGCGTTGTTTCTTGCACTTGGTGCAACGTATGAACTCGTCTCGATGGAAAAGACGCTTAGCTCGTAAGCTCGTTAGTTCGTTGTCCCCGTTCGACGCATGCTTGTAGTACTTCAATAAGTCCTCCATAAAGGAACCTTCTTGCCGTTCATCATCACCCAAATGTGGTTCTTCCATTTCCTGGTTCCTTCCTTCCCAGAATGTTTTTCGAAATCATAAGGCGTCAATTTCTCTGGTTTTCAAGAATTCACCATAAAAACACGTCAAGCAAAGAAGAGAATCTCAGAACCAAATTGAATTAATGCAAAACCAGCTTCAAAAATTGATGAACTTGGGGCAAACCAGGACATAAAGTTAATAGTAACAAATGTCAAAAATCAATGATCAGTTTCATGTATGTGAAGTGAAATTGAAGTTCATCAAATTCATAAACAAATGAATGATCGATTCTACATTAATGAAAACACCTCTAATTCGTTAATGCTAACGTTTTTATTTTGCAACAGTATTTTTCTAACAGCGAAACACCTTAAAAATAAAATATGAATTACCTTCGTCACAAACCGGAGTGCACTGACAAGATATAAGAAACTGGCCATTGGTGAAAACCCTAAGCTTGCCAATGGTATCACCATATTTCTTGCTGGTGCACCCACACTTGACCTCAATGAAATCCGACTCTCTTTTCAATCCTTCCATGTCTTTCAACTCTTCTTCGGTGAACATATTTGACAATAACCTCGAAAAAAAAACACATAAAGAAAAACCCTAACGACAATGATTTTTATTCAAGAAAAAACCTGAAGATCTTGTCGGCCGACAAGAATTTGAAGAAACCCAAGTATGGATTTTTGATGTATTTAATGTATATCAAGCAAATAAAAGGGTTTCCTTTTGTTTATTTAAATGTGTACTAAAATTAAACCTTAAAGGAAGATATGTAATGCCCGAGATCGAATTGCTGGTTCTATGTAAAAAAAGAAACCGAAATTCACTCACCCAATACATGTCAACAAGCATGCAACGAAGCTAAAACGTGTAAAAGATGAGAGAAAGAGAAGGGAATTAGTTTGGCAAAAGGATAATTCAATAAATATAAACATATATACGAGATGAATTTATAAAATTTTACGCGATAAAAATAGATTATCAATAGAAAATGTAAAGTAAATATATAAATTATATGAAAATTTAATAATTCTTTTATTCATTTGATAATAAATATTAAATAAACATTTTAATTGAATTTTTATTTAAAAACTTTTGAAAAAGATAAGTAGATTGGAGTCACTTGTTACTTAAATTTACTTCTTTTTTTTTACTACTATTATATTATCTTTTAAATATCAAACTTTGGGGGGAAATGGATTTAGCAAATGTTAGGGCATTGCAATTTATTGTCAATACGTTAAGAAAAAAAAAAAGAGAAAATAAAACGATTGTAGTTAAAAATTTAACAAATAAAATCATTTAAAATAAAAAAAATAGTTTTAATAAAATAACAACATTCGTGACATTCTTAGTACTATATAATAACCCTAAATAATTAAAGAAAAGGTGTGAACTTACTTTGAGCCTAATCTTAGATAACCAGAATCTGATTCAGGAGTTTCCGATGCTTTGAAAAGTTTAATCACTCTTTATATTTATCTAAAAAATTGAGACGACAAATCAAATTTATAATAAAAAAAACAATTGATGTATCTTTTCTCGCATCGATTTAAAAACTTTTTTCTCTAAATTAACTCAAATATAATAAAATATAATTTTACTCTATTATTTTAGTATAAAATTTAAAAAGAGCTAGGTAGAAGAATGATGACATTCGACACCGTAGATAAATTAAATTTTGATACATGTTTATTTACAATTTGTTGACAGGTATCTCATAGAAAATAACGTTAAAAATTATAAAAGACAAAAAAAATTACTTTCCATATAAAATTTATATGAAAAATTAAAAATATTTAATTGATTTGTGCCCAAAAAAAATTAAACAAGCTGTGAAGATTGATCATAATTCCCATTGTTTATACTGGCATATATATATATATATATATATATATATATATATATATATATATATATCAAAACATGCACCACAAATTCTTACATGATGGGAAAAGATATTTGAACATATATATAAATATTTTTTAATATCTATAAATTATATTTTAAAAACTAAATCACCATTAAAATTGTTATCTCAGTTACTCTTTGCAAATAAGAAAAAAAATAAGAGGTTGAAGCATTTATTTTAGTAGTGGATTCCTACTATTCTTTAAAAAATGAAAAAAATAGCAAATAATATAATCAATATTTTTAATAAAACAACACCATTCATGAAAACCTTAATTATATTATAACTCTAAATAATTGAAGCGAAGAAAAATGAGAATTTACCTTCACTCTTATCTCAGATAGGCAAAATTTGAGTTCGGAGTTTTCGATGCTTTGCAAGATCTAGTTGTTCTTTGCACTCTTCTATCTTAAGAATCGAGTCGGTGAACCTAATTTATAAATGGGAGGACAATAATTATCTCTTTTCACAAATTTAAAAGTTGAAACATGATTCGTTGAAATATGACATGTCAAATTAATTTGCATTGATTTAAATTTTATCCTCTGAACTGGCCCAAATACAATCTCAATTTACACCGAGGACATTCAGTACAGGACATAATAAATTTCGACACGTGTTTATTTATGATTTGTTGAGAGAAATTTATAATAAAATAATATTAAAGATTTAGAAAGAGTGGTGACTTACTTCTCGATAGAATTTGTGTCTAAATCTAACATAGATTTGATTGATTTGTGTAAGAGAACTTAAATAAATTGTGAGGATTAATCATTCCTATTGTTATAACACTTTTTCTCTAAATCTAATTTCGGAGTTTTTGATACTTCGTAAGATTTAATCGCTCTTTATATTCCTCTATCTTTAAATTTAATAAAAAAATATTTAATTTATAAACAGCAAGACATCGGTTATTTCTTTTCTCAAATTTAAAAGTTAAAATATAATTTATTGTATTAATTTACACTAATTTAAACAATCTTTTTCTCTAAATTAATTTAAATATAATCTCAATTCATTCTATTGTTTTAGTAGGGAATTGTCGACTCTCGTTTTCGTCCCGCTATTATTATTATTATTAATTAATGTTATTTTTATTAACATGGTCAATCAGACTTGGCCAAACATGGGCTACCAAATCCCTGGAATGATAATGATCGTTGCTGGGCAGGCTGATCTGCAGAAACTCATGCAGGTAGACTCCATCGTATAGTCGCAATTGCTTTAAAAGAAATATTTTTATCAAGTTTCTCATACGTGCACTTCTTTACCTGTTGGCATTAGGCTATGAGTATGGGACAGACACAAGTGGCAAGCTCTGCTGCATATCCATCAACCAGGTACATATTTGATCTCTTTATTCTTGGCTGTCTCTTGTAATACCATCGGCCTTGCCATGAGTTCGGTTGGTTATGATCTCCCTGTAAAGGTTCTAATTGTATTCTCAGAACCCCATGCCATGCCACGGACGTGTTATGATAAATAACTCTCCAATAGACTATGGATTTCATCCATAAACTGTTTCGTGCTCCTAAAATGTCGGATATGCCATCTCTTGTAGCTTTTATGCACTAGGACAAGTTACCCTAGCAAATGGTGTTGCTACAACGGGAGCAAGCAAGCCCCATTCAGCTTCCCCAGTTCCATCAGCGAATTATTCGCAATCGGGTAAGGATTATGATTTTTCGTCATTGACGCAAGGGATGTTCACAAAACAATGATCCGGGCCCCCCTTTGACGATCTCTGGCTTTGTCATTACTATACCAAAATATTCATTTTTACAAGAATTGAGAGATTTTTTTTAGGGGGGGGGGTGTTAGAGGGGATTGTAACCAAGCTGTAGATGCAGTTTCATATCATTTTGTTTTCACCATAACTGAGGACTTAATTTATATGAGTAGATTTATGCCAATACTTCAATAAAAATGTGTTTAGATTGAATTGGGTTTTAATCATTACTCAAACATGGTTATAGAGTTGGTCAATTTTGATTTAGTTTTATAAACGATGGTCACTCGATTCAAAAAACATAATTCGTAATCATTTTATTTTAATTAAGATGTGATCATTAAAACGGGAGCTTCCATTAGTTTGATGATGTGTCATCTTAGTAAAAGGGTATAATTCTTACTTCAACCCTTGAATTTTAGATAAAATACTAATTAGGGACCATTTTATAAATTTAAAGTAATTTAGGGATAAAGTTCTAATTTGCCCTTCTTTTTATATATTTTCTTCCCCAACCCCATCTTCTTGCGCTGCACTTCTCCATCTTCTATACAGCGGTGATACTCGCAGACCTAACCCCACTTCATCGGTCGTCGTTCATCAGTGGTTACTACTCCGAACGCCACCATCAACGGACGAGGAAGTCCAAACCACTGTCAATAGAAGACTAAGCATTACTTTTACCGGCAAGCATGCACCTGATATCCATTAATGGTGGCTTGGCTAGTAATAGAAACGGCCAAACCAGAAAAATCCATTTGTAGTTGGACAAAATCATTGATGTACTTAAAGCAGAAACAGTTAAACTATTCACGTCAACTGTCATTTATCAGACATAATTATGTGGAACAGGCACACACTCGAAAGACAGCCCAGTTCTTTAGATTTTTCTTTTCGGCAATAACACTACAGTGGGATGAAATAAAATGGAAAATTCTCAAAGGTCCATCCAATCACACCCGTTAGGTGTGGCGATAATCATTCTTGGTATTCCAATACCAACCAACCATCGGCGGGCCACATCATCAGCTACAATTGCTGAAAAGCTAGTGTTAGCTTTTTTTTTTTAAATTTTAACCTAATTAATTATAACTTAAAGGATAAACTACATCAGATACCACCGAACGTTAGTAATTATATTGTTTATACCACTAAACTTTCAATTTTATCAATTATAACACTAAATTTTGATTTTTGTTTCAATTATATCACTGAAACGTTAAATCGTTAACAAAATGGTGACATGGATAACGGCTATTGATGTGGATACCTCACTAAAACAACGTCGTTTTGGTCTGGTTGTTAACGATTTAACGATCTAGTAGTATAATTGAAATGAAAATCAAAGTTTAGTGCTATAATTGGAAAAATTGAAAGTTTAGTGGTATAAATGATATAATGACTAAAGTTTAGTGGTATATGGTGTAGTTTTTTCTAATTTAAATCTATTCATATTTAATAAAGGGTTAACTAAATGGTTGATCATTTATGTTTGTGTTTTATTTACTTTTTCTCACTATTCTAAAATATATATATATATGATTACTTTCTTTTTCATTTAAATAAGATATGGTCACCCCAAGTTAGCTACCGTTAAATATTTTGATATAATCACACATTTGGTCCATTTTTTTATATATTCTCTCAATTTAGTCATATTTTTAATAAATTAAATAAATTTAATCCTCTAATCGAATGATGTCGCGTGTCACTGGTGCCACATGTCACCATTCAATTGGAGGGTTTAGGTTTATTTTAATATATTAAAAGTAGGATTAAATTGACTTTAAAAATAAAATAAAATATTTTTAAATTAAGTTAATAATGAAATATATTTATTAAGTTAATATAAAAAATAAACCTAAACCCTCCAACTGAATGGTGACATGTGGCACGACACATGGCAACAATGACACATGGTATCATTTGATTGGAGGATTAAATTTATTTTAATTTATTAAAAGTAGGGCTAAATTGAGATAATATATATAAATAACATGGATCAAATGTGTGATTATACCAAAATATCACATCACCTAATATGTTAACTGTTAACGACTGTTAACATGTAGTGAACACATCTTAGCTAAATAAAAACGAAAGGGATCATATCTTAATTAAATGAAAACGAAAGTGACCGTATATTATGCTTTTTGAAATCAGTGAGAAAAAATAGACAAAACACAAACATAAGTGATAAATCATGTAGTTAACTCTTTAATAAAATAACATAAAGACTAAATCTAATTTCATTTGTGTTTAATAAATTAAAATTAAAATTAAAATTAAAATTAAAATTAAAATTTTGATTTTTATTTTAATTTGTTTAATTTCACTTGTGAAATTTAGAATAATGAAAAGACACCCTTTAATTTTTTTTAGGTCTCGATTCATGCAATTTCCTAAACAGTTTGTATCATATCATTGAAAATATTTTTGAAGTACAAGAAAAACCATTTAAAAAGATCATGAATAGTAATAATTATCAAATGGGTCCTCATGTTTGCAAAAATAGGCCCATTTAGAACATAAATCAGGGAAAGAGCACAAGCGATAAAGTTCAAATCTCGCCGGTATTAGTTGAAATAATAATTGATTTAGGTGACTTTTGAGTCAGATTTAAAATGTAAGTAAAACTTTTATTGTATAAAAATATATATTTATAATAATTAAGTAATGTAAATGTAATTAAAAATTTGATATCAATTATAATAATTGCATGAATCAAGTTGTCTCCGTGATAAATGAATTATTGTTATTCTTTGAGGGCCTGAGTTCGAGCACCATAGATGCCAATGGTGTGAACGTTTAATGTCGAAATATTGAGAGTTTTCTTTAATCAGATATAGTATTGTACTTATACTAGATTAATAACGTAATCCATATATAACTTTTCTAAAGTATAATAATTTAATTATAAACTCACTTATTAAAAAACAATATTTGGTTTATAATTTGTATCAGTATGGGTTAGGTAATAGAATTACCGATATGCCCTTGCAAAAGAAATCGAATTTTGAATTATTATGGGTGGTTTTGGCAATTGGCACTAGCTTTTAACTATCTATCATCCTATTTTAGACATCAAATTTATTTAAAAAGAAAATAAAAAGATTTTTTATCTTGTAATTGATAGTCGTAAAAGCAACCATTTTTATCTTTCAGATTTAAATTAAGCTTAAATTATAAATAAATACTTAAGTTATATCATATTTTTATATAAAATATTTTGAATATTTTTTTTATTGATTTAAGTATATAAAAGTATCATTTTCGTCAAAATAAATATCTAAAATATTCAATTTTTTTATTTAAGTTTTAAAAATTGACCTATAACATTAACTAAATATATGTTAGGTACTTTCTTAAAGAAGAAAAAAACACTTTAAGTACTTAAAACGAAAATGATAGTGTACATTGAGTATCTATTTTAATCAAAAGATATTTTAGACACTTATTATGATCAAAATAATAACTTTAAGTACTTACTTTGATAAAAAAATTGAAAATTTAATAAAAAATATGATATACTTCATATAATATAAGTTTTTTTTTTATTAAGTTAAGGTGATTACAAAAATAATATATGTTCTAAATACTCTTAACTATTTGATAATAAACGCTTAATCACCCTGCTACCGTCACTTGTACTCGAACCCGTGACATATAGGAACAACAACGATTCCTTTAACAACTAAGATAAGTTGATTTGTGCACAATATAAGTATTTAAATTATAAACTTCAAATCAATATATATTTTTAATAAGTAATATATATATTTATTTATTTATTTATTTAAATGTAGCCATACACTTGGTAGATATGATTATTTTGAAAATATAATATCTATATACAAAGTCAAAAGAATAATTTAATTGCTAATTCTTAAATTTTCTTCTCACAAGATTTAAAGTTTAAATGATTTGAACTTCCCTCCAATATTCGGAGGCTGCATTAACAAACTTTTGACTTATAAAATACCTAATCATGCATAATATGTAGTTTTGTACATGAATCGAACGAACATAAATGAGGGTATGTTTATGTTCTTCTGTTTAATTATAACTGAACAATCGAACGAATTTTTTTGTTCGTGTTCGTGCATTAATAAACTTAGCTTGTTCGTGCTTGTTCATATTTGTTCGTTAAAACGATAAAAGAATACAGACAAACGAACGTAAACAAACACAAACGAACGAACATAAAAAGTATGAAATATTAAATTAATTGAGTTTATATTTAAGAAGAGTTTTTTTTCTCTCTCCAAAAATAATTTCAGGATTTTATATTTTTTAATTGATTTGAGTAATTTTTTTTATTTGGCTTTAAAATTAACTGAATTTTAAAATATTAACATGTTTAAGGTTAAAATTTATTAGGGTTTAGTATTTTAAATGGGTAAAGAGATTAGATTAAATATAAACGAACAAACATTTACGAATGTAAATGAACGAACGAGTCATTTATTTGCGTTTGTTTATCTAATTAAACGAACATAAAATCTTATTCATATTCATTCATTTATTAAATAAACTGACATAAACAAACTTTCCGTCTAACAATTCATGAACGATTCGCTTTTTTAATTAATTCAAATGTAGGTATTTTTTATTAAATAATAACCATAGTCTAACAATTGCCTGTCCAGCTTAGTTGGTAGAGTGTAAGGTTCTTAACCTTGAGGTCGTGAGATCGAGTCCCACGATAGACAATTCATAATTCGGAGGTCTCTCACGGAAGTTGCTCTCAACCTAACGTTTGGGACAGTCTACTATCCTACCTCCCCTTATCCCATTACATACGGGAATAAGGGTCGGCTAATTTAACCATAAATATTAAATTTTATGGGACCATCAAAATTTTGCCTATGTTTTGCTATTCGTTAATTGATGATCCAACGACATCAAAGTAGGGTAATTAATTCTCATAATAATTTATTTGAGTTACTGCTTAAATGAGCTAGTAAATTAGCTGTTGTGGGTTGTTAGAAGTTAAAATCAACTTGGACGAAAATGAAAGGACAAGATTATTAAAGGATGTACTGGAAATAATAAAAACAATAGTTTAGATAAAGAGTAAATCTGAGTTATATTATATTTAGATTTACCAATCAACCTACCAAATAGTATATTATTCAAATGAAAGTTGTATTTGGTAAGCCCTTTTTGTTCTTTCTTATTTTGTTTTAGGGTACTTTTTTACAAGTGATTTTTTTTTATAAAAAAAATTACGTTCGTGAATAATTTGTTCACATCTCTCAATTCCGATTTGTTCTTTCAATAATTTGATATCTTTTGTGATTATTTTACCGCTTCGATCAAATTTGTTCATATCCACCATTTGTTTGAGTTTATTTAATTAGTTTTTTAACATTTTCTTTGTATGATCCTTATACGATCTTAAGTGATTAGTTTTCTTTGTGTTAATAGTTATAGAAAATTATTTTTGTTATGTATTTAGTTAAAAATTGTGGTTCTCAATTTTTATATTATAATTTAAATATTTTTTATTTTTAATAAAATTAGCATGTTCTATAAAAAATGGTATTTTAAATAGTTTAATTTTACACAAAAATAATTAATAAATTATGTAATTATTATGTAGGGATACATAAAACTAAAAAGGTCATGAGAGGAATTTAACAAAAAATTCAAAAAAGAATAGTGCTTTTAACGGTAATTGTATCCAAATCCCAAACCTAACCCCAAATCCAAACTTTTGTAATTTAAAAAAGAGAAAATCGCCTCAGTGACCAAAAATACTTTATAATATACGATTTTAACCAACTTTTTTTGGATTTGCCAAAATGACCAATAAAATCGCAACGCGATACCACGACCACGACCACGACCACGACCACGACCACGACCCGACCCGAGACGAGACGGCGGCGGCGGCGGCGCGCGAGAGTCCCCATTGTCCTCTTTCACTCAACAAGGAAGTGCAAAATACAAGCCTTAAATACCATTCCCAATAGTATTTCCAATACTATGTGGGATTGAGCATTACCAACACTTGTTCCAAATATCATTATTCTTCATAAGTTATCATCCATTACAATATGAATTAGTCGTGTTAATGAACCAATATACCTCATTAATATATGGTATTGTTGAACAAAAGAATGATGATGATGATCTTATTAAAGACCATCTAATACGAAAGAATCCAATGCATAACCGATACCTTATTGTGAAACTAATTCACATAGAGGTTGTACGTGAAAAAAAAATCTTTTACTTTTATAGTAAATATCTATCTCAATAATTTTAATATAAAAAATATATTTTTTATTTAATAATAGAATTATTTCATGTATTTATCAAGTTATAATTTTAAATACTTATTAAAATGAATTAATTTATTATCGATAATTCATATTGTAATGGATGATAACTTATGAAGAATAATGATATTGGGAACAAGTGTTGGTAATGCTCAATCCCACATAGTATTGGAAACACTATTGGGAATGGTATTTAAGGCTTGTATTTTGCACTTCCTTGTTGAGTGAAAGAGGACAAGGGGGACTCTCGCGCGCCGCCGCCGCCGCCGTCTCGTGGTCGTGGTCGTGGTCGTGGTCGTGGTAATACGTGTCTTCGACACGTCCGCGCGGATACTATCTTTTTAGAGAAAAATTCTTAAGAAACAAATTTTTTTTAACTATTCTTTTGACCGTTGCGATTTTCAACGTTGCGATTCTCTCAGTCGCATTGCGATTATCTCAGTCGCATTGCGATTTTCTTCTAAATCGCGTTGCGACTCTCTCAATCGCATTGCGATTATATAAATCGCATTGCGATTTTCTTCTAAATCGCGTTGCGATTTTGATATCGCGTTGCGATTTTATTGGTCATTTTGACAAATCCAAAAAAAGTTTGTTAAAATCGTATATTATAAGGTATTTTTGGTCACTGAGACGATTTTCTCTTTAAAAAAAATCCAAACTTTATTTTTATATTGTTATTTTTTAAAAAGATTTCTATCATAAAACCCATTGGCCATAGCTAAACAGAAAGGAAGAATAAGAACAAAATGCTCATTGTTTTCTCTCAAGACAACTTTAACAGTTTTATTTTCTCTTTTCTGTTCAAAATTTGAAGTGTTGGCTTCGAACAACCTTAATCTCTTGTAAGAATTTATTGTTTTAAATGATAGGATTTCCAATTTTATTGATCTTTGTGGGTTTTTTCAGCAGATGATACTGTGATAGTTTCACTTCTTCTTCTTCTGTTTGTTTTTCACTTCATAATTGGTCTTATTTTGATGTCCTTTTTTGTACAATGCGAGCTTAGCAAAGAAACTAAATCGAGTTTCTAAAAAAAAGAATTCACTTTTTTCGGTGGGTTTTGGGTTTAGTTTTACTTTTGTTTGAAAAATGATGTTATCGGCGTCGCCGACGACTTTAGCGAAAAGTTCGCTGGAAGAAATGCTGGAATCTCTCCGGCGACAAGACGAGGCCGATAAACCTAAAGATTTACCTCCGGCTTTACCAGCCCGGCCTACTTCCAAGGCCCGACTTCCCTCGGCTCGCCGGTCACTTCCGACCAACTTCAAAATCGGTGCTAATGGTGTAAACGAGGCCGTTTTAAGTGAAGTGAAGGGAAATGAGGAAGTTAAAAGGAAGGAAAAGGAGTTGGGGGTGAAGGGAAATAGTTTTGGGAGTAAAAAAATGAGGAAAGGTGTGAATGTAGTAAATTCACCGTATGATTTGGGAGGGAAAGGGAAGGTGGAGTGTGAGGAGAATGATAATATTGGGTATTTTACTCAGAAAGTAAGTATTGAGTTTAACGTGTTCTTTGTTTGTTTTTCATTTTTGCTGGGTTTTATATGTTATCAAATCCATGTTTTTCATAACATGGAGCTCAAGTACTTATTAAGTTTAGGAGAAATTTGGAAATTTTTATTAATATGGGTGTCAAATATCATGTTTTTCTTAATAAATGTTTTCAACAAGGAATACTTTTGATTTTTTTTTGAAAATATATACTTTTGAATTTTGATGAAATGGGTTTGGGGTGTTATGCTAGAAATTGAGGAAGGTAACTAAATGGAGTTCAACTTTTTCATTATAAATTTAGGGTTCATGATGAGGAACTGCAAATGTTCAAATATAGAGTTGGCAGTGTTGGTGATTTGTTTTACTGTGGTAGGAGTTATAACTCAGTAATTATGGTGCTTATGATCTGGAGATTTTATAGAGTGTATTTACTTACAAAAAATATATGGTTGAAATGAAACTTAAACTGTCAGGAGCATCGGCTTGGCATTTGATTATCTTCTGTGAAAACTATTACTATTTTAGGCAAATAAATTTGTTTTTTTTAAATTCCTATTTATTGTGAGGGGATTTGGTTACAGAAACTTCATGTTTGGTGCCGGCTATCCAATGGGGTGTGGGGATCGGGAACCATACAATCTTCATCAGGAGGGGAATCAGTTGTCACCCTCTCCAATGGAAATGTAAGTTCATATATGTCATGATTTTTGAAATTGGATAATTAGTCTTTGGTATTCCATTTGGCTGGTTGGTGTTTAATTTATGTTATATGGTTCTTATAGGTTGTAAAAGTCTCTACCAGTGAGCTCTTACCGGCAAACCCAGGAGTTCTGGAGGGTGTGAATGATCTCATACAGCTCAGTTATTTGAACGAACCATCCCTTCTTTACAATCTTAAGCACAGATATTCTCGAGATATGATATTTGTAAGATACTTGTTCAGGTGTTTGTTTATGAGGTTTATCTCTGCATCCAAGCTTCATTTATTTATATATATTTTTCTTTATGTAGAGTAAAGCAGGTCCAGTTTTAATTGCAGTCAATCCATTCAAAGATGTCCAACTTTACGGGAAGGATTTTGTCACGAGTTATAGACAGAGAGCTACAGATAGCCCTCATGTTTTTGCTGTAGCGGACAATGCTTATAAGGAGATGATGAATGGTGAGCGAAACTACTCCTTTCCTTCTGAAGTTAGAATAAACAAGTGATGGTTTGCTTGTGGTTGTGTAGTATATTATTTCTGATGATTTATTGTCTGTTATTAAAATTTTGCAGATGGAGTAAATCAGTCTATAATCATAAGGTTAGATGGAACTTTTAATGTTTGTTGTTATATCTTATAATATGATACTCGTGGGTCTTAAAGCACATCCTTTGTTCTATGAACTGTTCAATTACATAATCTAAATCTATCTTGCAGTGGGGAAAGTGGAGCTGGGAAAACTGAGACAGCAAAATTTGCAATGCAATACCTAGCTGCTCTCGGAGGTGGCAATGGTGGGAAAGAGTGTGAAATCCTTCAGACACATTGTATACTTGAAGCATTTGGGAATGCAAAGACATCTAGAAATGACAATTCTAGCCGATTTGTGAGTTCTTCTTTACCCCTCATTTATAAATTACTCTCATGGATAAAAGAAACCGTACTGACAATTCATCCTAGAGGACCAATTTCTATCGTGGTTTATGCATTTCACATCCTCTGTTGCTCAGAAAAGTATGTCTTGTTTGTTTCTCTGCTCCGGTGCAGGGCAAGCTTATTGAAATTCATTTTACTGCACTGGGGAAGATATCTGGTGCCAAGTTTCAAACTTGTAAGCATGTTGAAATTGAAAAAAAAAGGGAAAATGCTACTATTACATAGTAATAAAATATTACTGATTAATTTTGGTTGCTGACTTTTTTCTTTTGTTATAATGTTGATTCACCAATGGCTTTTCTGGATAGTTCTTTTGGAAAAGGTGAGTTCCTGACATGGTTGAACATTTTATTGGGTTTTATCTTTGCTATCATGTATGGTATCTAATGTGGATGTTTTTGATGTCCCCTTTGAGCAGTCAAGGGTAGTTCAGCTGACTGCTGGTGAAAGGTCTTACCATATATTTTATCAACTCTGTGCTGGTGCTCCACCAACTCTAAGAGGTACTATTTCATTTCACAGCGTTTCGCTATCCATGCTAGTTTAAAAAAGTTTTGGAGTCTATCACCTTTGTCGAGCTCTATATTATCTACATGGAACTATGCTTGCACCTGTTATTTCTTTAGCTGTGAGACTTACTGTTATTATATTGTATCATATCATTTAAAGGGGTTGCTAAAGTTATTCCTGCCACAGGTCTTTTGCTCACTGGATTAAATTTGTGAAACAATTTTATGATCCTTGGAATCATGTCTTTGCAGAGAGATTGAATCTTAAAACAGCTAATGAGTACAACTATCTAGGCCAGAGTGAGTGCTTGGTGATTAATGGTGTTAATGATGCTCAGAAATTCCAAAAGCTTATGGTAAATTCAAAAGACTATATTTAATGTACCATCAATAGTGTAGCAATTTTTTTAACCGCTTAATTTGTCTCATTGGCCTTTAAGCAATATTTTCTGCATTTCTGCAGGAAGCCTTGGACATTGTTCAAATTTGCAAAGAAGAGCAAGAGCAAGCATTTGCAATGCTTGCTGCAGTTTTATGGTTGGGAAATATATCATTTCAAGTAATTGACAAAGAAAATCATGTGGAGGCATCTGCCGATGAAGGTATGTGTGCTCTGAAGACCTCATCATCCATGATTTTCATCATCATCATTTGTCTTTTGCCTGTTAAAATAACTTGTTTGTTGAATCTGTTTTAAGTTAAATCTTTAGTTAGCATTTGTTTTGCATGTAAGTGCTTGTTGTTATTATATTGTCTTTATAAGATGCTTATTTATGTGAGATCTTATTCCTTGTTGCAGCTTTAACCAGTGCTGCCAGGCTGATGGGTTTTGCTCCAGATGAACTAATGCAAGCTATATCTACGCATAGAATCCGAGTTGGCAGGGATAGTATTTGTAAAAAATTGACATTGCAACAGGTTTCTGCAGTTTTTGTTAACACAACTATTCTTTCTCAATCCTCTCAAAAGTCACTTTCTATATTTGCTGTTATGCATGCATTGACAGCGTGATAATCATTAGTTAATTTGTAATTTAGGCTATTGATGCAAGAGACTCATTGGCAAAATTCATCTATGCAAGCTTATTTGACTGGCTTGTGGAACAAATCAACAAGTCACTTGAAGGGGGTAAAAAACACATTGGCAGGTTCATAAGCATCCTTGATATTTATGGGTTTGAGTCATTTAAGGTAAGTAGTTTTGGGTTTGGTGTTTAGAGTTTATCATTGTGAATTTTCAGTTTGTCCAACTGATAATTTTCTCATCTGATTTTCAGAAGAATAGCCTTGAGCAGCTTTGTGTAAATTATGCGAATGAGAGGTTGCAACAACACTTCATCCGGCACCTATTGAAACTTGAGCAAGAGGTAAGCAACTCAGATCTTTTAATTTCCAGAGTTTTTGACTTCTGTACAGTTTCTGTATAATGAGCTGGGATTCTAGTACCCTGTATAATTTCAAACCAAAAGTTCTATAAAATCTGGTTGAGTTGTCTATTCTTATTCTGGATTTGGTTTCCATTATCAGAAATTACAATTTTGACGAACTTCCCATTGTTAAGAGTTTCTGTTTCTTATTTCAGGAGTATGAATTGGATGGGATTGATTGGACCAAAGTTGATTTTGAAGACAACCAAGAGTGCTTGGACCTATTTGAGAAGGTAATTTGAAGGTTCAATGGTTTCTTTGTCTTCAAGGTTTATTTGGAGTTCCTTGGATTGTTTTAAGGGGGTTCTGTTCTGTATATTGTGTAACATGTGGATCTTGTGTATTCCATAGTTACTTATAAGATTGTTGCTATAAATTGAGCTTGTTATTAATAAGTATGTTGTCCTAGCTTTGGTGCTAATTCTGGATGAAATTTTTATTTTCTTTTAATATCTCGTTTCATTTGAAACCAAAATGTTTCTTGGCAATCTGTCATTCTTCCTTTCTGGTATTTATTTTGCAGAAGCCCTTAGGGCTACTTTCCTTGCTGGATGAGGAATCAAATTTACCCAATTCAACTGATTTTACCCTTGCTAATAAGTTGAGGCTGCACCTGAATTCTATTTCTTACTTCAGAGGAGATAGAGGCAGGGCCTTTGGTGTTCGACATTTTGCGGGAGAGGTCAGTTATTTGTATTTTGAGGACAGTAAGAAATTCTTTTTAAGAGTTTTCCTTTCTTCAATTTCAAAGGAAAATAATCAAGAAAGTGGGTAATATTCAAGAAATTTTTGCAAGTTGATTCAAATGGTATTGCAAACTAATAAAATGGCAATGCACAATGCTTATATGATTGATTTTACGAATTCTCCCAGGTGCTGTATGATACTAATTGCTTTTTGGATAAGAACCGAGATGCATTGAACCCTGAGGTAGTCCAACTTCTATCATCCTGTAACGGCCAGTTGGCACAGTTGTTTGCCAAAAAAATGCTTAATCAATCTCTGGAACCAGCAATTTCATTGGATGCTCCAAAGCAAACTGTTGGGGCAAAATTCAAGGTATATTTGCTTTCTCAGTAATTGTGATCCAAATGTATCCATGATTTTAATATAATTCAAACTGATCAGAGCAAAACTACAAAGTTTTTTAAGGTATCCATTCCCACTGCTGACAAAGTACTCTTGTTTCCCTGCATCATGTCACGCACCATCATTTATCACAAGCTGGTATTGTTCTCTCTGGGCATCCAATTGTCCTTCAAAGTTTTGTTACTCAAAGATTTGCCTTATCAGGTTTGAAATCAGGACCTCTTACATATAGGAGCCCTTTTCATGACAACAGTGCCATCTGATGTTGGTACTAGAGTTGCGAAATGGACTCTCATATCAGGAGGCCCTGGGTTTGAGCTTAGGGATGCACACATTCGGGTGGCAACCTTAAGGGGCCTGTAGGTACCCAAAGAGGACAATACAGCTTTGGGCATGACACTGATTGCCAGTGTGTTGTAAATTGTAATGAGAGTACCGGTCGATCTGCGGGTCTGGTAATGTGGCATATCTAATAGTCTTAGAGATATTGTGTATACTGCACACTGGCATGCTCTGTAAATGAAATGTTTTCATCCATACTTCCAGGGCCAGCTCTTCAAATTAATGCACCAATTGGAGAATACAAGACCTCACTTTATTTGCTGCATAAAACCAAACTCCAAGCAACTCCCTGGTACGTTTGAAGAGGATCTTGTCTTACAGCAGCTTAGATGTTGTGGAATTTTGGAGGTTATTAGAGTCTCAAGATCTGGATATCCTACTAGAATGACACATCAGGCATTTGCAGAAAGGTAGGAAATAAACCCTTCTTTAGTTTTGGTGTTCTTCTTTATTATTTTCAGCATATTTCTCATATATTTGTGCATTTCTTAGGTATGGGTTCCTACTGTTGGAGACCATTGTATCTCAGGACCCATTGAGTGTTTCAGTTGCCCTACTAAATCAATTTAATGTCCTTCCTCAAATGTATCAAATCGGCTATACCAAACTGTTTCTTCGAACTGGGCAGGTAGGTTCTATGCTGTCTTGCTTTGAATATTTCTTGGACCTTAAACTAATAATTTCCTTGATGATGTTATGTCTGACTGAATTGCAGATTAGTTCTTTGGAGGATAGGAGAAAACAGGTATTGCGAGGAATAATTGGGGTTCAGAAATACTTCCGAGGTCACCGTGCTCGTCGCCTTTTCCAGGAGCTCAACAAAGGAGCAAAAAGTATAAAATCATGTAAATTCTTTCAAGCAAAATTCATTTCTTATCGTAATTTCTTTTTCATACTGAGAGATTGTTTCTTTTTTATTATAATTTTTTGTTGTCTTATTTGGTCACAAGTAAACATTTTTTCATACATTTAGGCTATCTTCTGCAGGACATTTTAGACTGTATTCTTTAGGCATCTTAATATTCAAAGTGCCTTTCTACATCATCGGCACCTATATTTTTCCAATCCACATTTTCTGGTTACTTGTTTATCAATTGAAGGAATTTTCCTTTATGATGCAGTTGTCTTTGGTGAAAATAAACGAAGGAAGTATGCTATTGAGGCGAATAGGTGCTCAGCATTTGCTTCTCATTTAATTGATGAGCAGTTAATGGCAGTCATATATTTACAATCTGGTAAATATAATATATGTGCTATCTACATTTTTTTTTGGCTTTCCATTTGTTTCGGTTATCATTATCACTGTTTTTTTCTTCCCATTGCAGTAATCCGTGGGTGGTTGGCCCGTAAGCATTTCAATAACATGCATAATTTGAAACAGTCAAACCAAGAAAGCGTAAAGTCTAGACGAAAGACGGGTAGGAAGATGTCTGAAGCAAAGGTATTCTCTACTCATGCTAAGAATGTTTTCTAAAGATAAAAGATATTTACTCTTGATTCTCATTTTTATTTTTTCTTCAACGCATGCCCCTAAGCATGTTTTACTTTCTTAACTGTCTGAAATCTGTTGAACTCTGAAAGACTTAAAAGTATGAACCCTTTCTTTTGGCTGACCAGGAGATACCCCATGAGCAACAGATTCAAGTTCTACCTTCTGTGATGGCCGAGCTTCAAAGAAGTGTTCTCAAGGCAGAAGAGACTTCGAGGCAAAAAGAACAAGAAAATGCCACGTTACAAGAACAACTACAAAAGTCCGAGGCAAGGTGGTTGGACTATGAGGCAAAGATGAAAACAATGGAGGAGAAGTGGCAAAAGCAAATGACATCACTTCAAGTGAGTGTGTCTATATTACTATTAAAACATCTTTGCATTAGTCATTGTTGTTGGCCGACACATAAGTTCTTGATAATCATCAAAGTAACTACAAAATTAATGTGATCCTGATGATCATAGTTAAGCATGTGAACCAACTTAAAATAATTGGCTGATTGTAAACTTTACATGGGAGCTAAATAGCACAGCTTTGTCGAATCTTTCCTTGTCATGATTTCTTGGCTTGTTACTCTAATTTAATTCAGTCATCTCTTACATGGGAACTAACTTCGATTATTGATTCCAACTGCATTTATTTCAGACAAGTCTTACTGCTGCCAGAAAGAGTCTTGCTGCTAACAGTGCTGCAGGTCAGCTAGGAAGAGTTGATGTGCTATCTCCGCGATGCTATGATTCTGAAGATAATGCGTCCATGGGATCTCGAACTACCGGTGGGAACACACCCGTCTTATTTTCTAATGCTATGCCCGATGTCGTTGGGGGTAGAGAGAATGGCTCTTTGAATGCACTGGGCAATCTGTTAAAGGAATTTGAGCAGAGGAAACAATCTTTTGATGTAGATGCTAAATCTTTGATTGACATCAAAATGCCACAGCCAGGTTCTAATGTGAATCCCCGACGACGAACTTCGGAGATTAAAGAACCGGTTCGAGACCTGGAAGAAAGATTACAAGCTGAGATTAAAGGAAGCCAAGGCAAGACTCCATAAGCGTGGGCATTCCGAGTCAGACAAAGCTCGAAGAAAATGGTGGGGAAAGCTAGGTTCGAAGGCATAATAAAATTCCCGGTCTGAAATGATCATCTCCCATTCTTGGGTACAATTTCTTTACATTTGTGGAAAAAAAATTTCTGCAGTCCATGAACAGTAAGGAGACATTGTATTTGTATGTATCTACCAATTTTTGTTACTTTGGTGGGAGAGACTATAATGTGCATAAGACAAATAGGGATTCGTTGAGTTTGAGAGTTGTGGCTGCCTTGTTTGAATAGTTTGGTTTAGTTTTTTGTGTATAATTCTGCCTTGTTAGTGATGTAAGATGTTTGTAATTTCTTTGTAATTCAGATGAAATCAGAAATCACATTTTCATTCTCAATGAACCGCAGTTTTAAGTGGAGAGGTATTACATTTTCAAGGATATCGATGTTCAAACCCACACAAGATGAGGTAATATGAACATTCTTGGTCACTCGATCACTTAATGGATCTCAATGAAATGCAGTTTTAAATTGTCAAAGTTATTCAGAATCTACAATTACATAGATAAGAACAATGCAAATTTAGGATCGAGGCACAAACTTGGTAGCATAGACCCAAGCATTGTTTGCAACAGGGTTGTCCAGGTGGTCCAATAGGTTCTTCAAGGGACCTTTCCCGGTAACAATGGCTTGAACAAAGAAACCGAACATGGAGAACATGGCCAGCCTTCCATTCTTGATTTCCTTCACCTTAAGTTCCACGAACGTGGCGGGGTCATCAGCAAGGCCAAGAGGGTCGAAGTATTGGCCTCCGGGGTAAAGATTGTTGCCTTCCCCAACACCAGGGAGGCCGTTGATGCAAAATCCTTCGAGCTCCATCAGGACGACTTGGAATCCGAGGACAGCGAGGATGCTTTGAGCATGGACCAGGTTCGGGTTGCCTAAGTAATTCAAGCCACCTTCCGAAAAGATTTGAGCTCCTGCCTTGAACCACACTGGTTCCTTGAAATCAACCCGAACCCGTTTCTCGAGTACTTCTAGCGTGATGCCGCCTAGTGCTCCCAACATTGCCCATCTCCCATGGATTACCTACATGTTTTCGTTTTGTTTTGGTTACAAAGATCGAATTTACGAGACGAAGAAGTTAAAAGGGTTGAAGAAAGAGAGGATACCTCAAGAGCCCTGTTCCGGACGAAGGCCTCAGGATCAGCAGACAAACCAGCAGTGTCCCAACCATAGTCACCAGGGAACTCACCTGTCAAGTAAGATGGTGTCTGAGCTGAAAAGGGCCCCAAATACTTCACTCTATCTGGTCCATACCACAGTTCATTTCCCTACACATATTACACCTTCAAAATCAGTAAACTTTAAAATAAAATATTAATATCATATATGGAAACATATTTAGCATTCTTTTTTAATGGAAAAAATATCATCAATTGAAATAACGATATTACTTTATAATGATATGTCAGTATCATCGTTCATTTAAAAAAAAATAAAAAATAGATAGGTGACTAAAATAAAATTGTTGCAATAATTGGTAACTAAACACATATTTTTTCCAAATTATTAACCAATAGTAGAATCCACTAAATATTTAATTTTAATAAATAAAAAAATAATACAAATAATGGAGTTAAATATTTAAATTCAAAATATATTATCGATTGATTTGAATAATAAATATTTATTTTTTAAAGGTAAATATTTAAATTTATCATTTACATAAGCAAAGTGAATTGATAAAATAAATATTTCAAAGTTTAATATTGATAATTACTCCAACCCTATTATGATTTATGAATAGCAACTAAATGTTTGAATCTCGCCAATGAGGTCATGACTTGTTGGTGAAGTGTAAACGCATCAAACCTTAAATATAAATTATTTTTTTAGATATATCTCGAATCAATTTATTAGTTTTTTGATATAATAATTAATTTAAATTTTAATATACGAATTTATATTATAATATATAATTTTATTATTTTTATATTTTTAAACTAAATTTAAATCTCAATAGTATTTAAATTTAAAAATAAATTAAATATTTATAAGGGTAAATTACGTGTTTAGTATCTCAACTATCACTTCTATTCTATTTTGGTCATCCAACTATTATTTTTTCAAATCATACATAACATTACATTTTGATTCTATTTTGGTTACTCGTCGTTAAAAAATTAATAAAACTACTGATGTGATATTTCTTTAAAAATATTCAATGATGATGTGACATTACCTTATGGTGATATATCATCATCTTTGTTAATTTTTTAACAATGTATGGTCAAAATGAAACTAAAACGTAACGATTGGTATGATTTTGAAACAAAAAATAGTTGAATGACAAAAACATAGCACAAATAATAATTAGGGTTCTAAACATATAGTTTTCCCTATTAATAAATAGACAAAAAGGCATTAGAGATGCTTATACATTTGAAAAAAAAATCAATGTGATTTTCATGTTATTTTTTTCTCTCTCAATAAGCCCCTTCAACTCAAAAAAACAAATTCAATGTGATCATTTGATCAATGTTTATCGTCGTTGACCGTTACAGTAATTAGTATGTTAGTTTACGGTATTGGGGTAGCTAGGGGTGAGCATTCGATCAAGTCGAATTTTTTTAAAAGTAAGGGACCTCTTGTATATGTTTACCCTATAAATATCATAGTATCTTACAAGTTTACTGGGAAGACATTTTATCATTTCTTTAGTATTAAGATTCCGTGTCAACCTTTCGATCTATGGGTAGGAAATATATAGTATTGTCGGTGGTGGCGGTGATCTTTCCATCACCACTGACAGCCAACCCAACGCTGACAACAACCACAACGTGTCACCGACAAATTCGTGTTCTTAAAGCAACGCTGTCTCCACAAGATTCTTCAACCATGCTAAGAAATTTACATTAGTTACGACAAATTCTTTATTTTATTAAGATTGAAAGGAGAAAGTATTCAAAACCCTCCATTTCTTCTTTGCATCTTATTCGCCACAATCCTTTCTCCACCACTCTTTCAACCATTTTCCATTGCAGAAAAATAAAGCTTTTTTTTTCCTATTTTTTTTTCATTTCCTCGTGAGTCGAAAGACCTACCATTAGAGGGCGGAGAGGGAGGCGAGAGCAGTGGGTTATATAATCATGGGTCGTCGCCTCTTTGCCTGTTTTGGTGGTGGTTCATCGAAAAAGGGAGTCCATGCAAATGGGAAAACCGATGGAACAGTGGTCGAAGCAGCGGCGGGTGATGGGCCAGTCCTGGTGGAGTTGTTCTCTTCACAGGGATGTGCGACATCGCCGGTGGTGGAGTTGCTTTTGTCGAGACTAGGGAGAGGGGATTTTCAGCTGGATACGCCGTTTATTGCGCTGGCTTATCATGTTGATTACTGGGATCACATGGGGTGGAAAGACCCTTATGGATCGAGCCTATCAACTGTTCGACAAAGGCTTATGTTGAGGCATGAGGCTTGACACAATGTTTACGCCTCAGGTTGTGGTTCAAGGTAGGGCTCAGTGTGTGGGTAATGATGAAGATACTTTGTTATCCACCATTTCCAGTGCTCCCAGGTTCCCTGCACCATCATTCCAGGTATTGAATTTTTTTAAATAATATCTTTGATTTGATGGTCATCTTTTTTTTCTATTGAATTGATAAAATCTAAATCAAGCCCTTTGTTGGAATCTGTGAAGCTTTTGCTTATTCTGATCTGAAGATCCCAGAAAGTAATTGTGGAAATAAATTAAGATTTAATAAAATTAGTAATTTTAGTTAGGAGATCCTCTATTGATTAAACAATTATTAACTCATGTCATGAACTTGAATCTTGAAGCTTTTGTAGGAAATCATGAATCAATAACGGAATACATATGTTCTCTTAGTTACAGTTATCAAGATCAAATCCAGATCACATCATCTATCAAAAGAATATTTATTTATTTTTTTCTTTTATATTTCATGATATGATGAGAAAATACATTATAAAAGTGGATTTTGGTTTTACTTTTCATTTTCTTGAAGTATCTGTTACGATTGATATTCAGATATTAGTATGTAGACATAACCAGACCATTTAAATACATAAAATGTGGAGAATATATTCGAATAAGAAACAGACATGGATCCAGTACTTACACCAAAGGCTATTAGATATTGGCTCCTACTCCACCATCCCTCATGTTTATTGCCAAGGGCATTAATCAGCTTCAAAATATATCCATGTTCATATAAATTTTCCATTTTCCTTTTGCTAATGTAGTTGAACTGCATGACCAAGGAAGTCATTCCTTGAAAACAAATCTTTTTCATCAAATACTCTGCCTCCTAAGCTAAAGTCACAAAGCGGTCTCATTTAGTTAGCTCAGGTACTGGTTTTCACAATTGATAGCTGAATAGATTAAACTGACATACACTTTCGATATCTAATTGATTCTAAGAATGTTGCAACTGGAGTGTTTAGTTAGCTAGGGTAGCAAAGATCACTTCATGCACATCATGTTCATGTTCATCCTCATCTTCATTGACAAGAACCAATTCTTCTGAAACAGGCTAATTTCCAAAGGCCTACATCAGAGTCATTGCAAGTGACCCTAACAGGAGCTTTGAGGTCAAAAGTAGACAACAATGGTGTCAATGTAATGGTGGCATTGTATGAGAACGGATTGGTGAATGACTGCCTGGCAGGAGAGAACAGAGGGAAAGTCTTATCCAATGATTTTGTTGTTAGAAAGCTTGAAAAACTCTGCACTGTCAAAGACATATCCGCCAAGAAGACGGTCTCAGGCACCGCTACATTCACTCTATGGGATGGTTTCAACAGCGAAAAATGTGCTCTTGCAGTCTTTGTTCAGAACAGCTCCCACCAAATTATTGGTTCACAAAAGTTTGAACTGCCAAATGACTTGTGAAAAAATGCAGAATCAATGAATTATTTGTGGAATTCAGGATTTAACCCGGTTCATCCATACACTCATCAGCACCCAGAAGATTTTGGGTTTGAATCCTGGCATTTGTGCTTCTTTCTCTATTTCATATATAAAAAACCCTTGAAGTATTGTGTCATTGGTACAAAGTTTTAGGCAAATTTTCATGTATAGGATGTGTTCTACTTTAGGTATTGATTTCTTTTCCCTATGATTTCCTTTTCTTATTTCCTGGTTTCATGTTTTAGGATATGGAGATTGGAGAGGCATTTGCATTCAGTATATGGATTCTGTTTTAAACACTACCATATTCTTTTATAATTTAACCTCTGTTCACCATCATAGTTGACCATCTTTTTGGATTGTTGAAGGTAGGGAAAGTAGAAATAGCATTAAATCTATACAAAAAAGATCAAAGGGGATAGGTTAATTAGGACGGACCCCAACTGCTCAAATACATGACTGTTCTAAGTGATTCCTCAGATTTCAACTTATCATCTTTCTTAGACAAATCAGAAGATGAAACATAGATTTTGTTAGCTTGTGTAGAAGAGGAAGACGATGATCTGATATTGTTATTGGCATGCCTTTGAATTGACCTTTGAGGATGAATCAATCTACAAATTCCTTGATCTTTCAGTGCCTCAATAGCTCCAATGCTCGCTGCTGCAATCCATGCTCTTGTTGAAGAATTCATGTTTTTTTTTCTCTTTTGTGCTATACTCTCTGATGTAATGGCTGTTTTTGCTTTGTTGAAGCAAATGAAAGGGGTTGATGAGACTATCTTATATAGAGAGAATTTGGGGCAGGGGGGGATGGTACCTAATAAACAAAGGAAAAAGGCTACTGGTTGAACTTAGAAGTAGTGGATGGGTTAGCTTTTTTGGTCTAATTATGGTCTTTGTCCCTCTTCTATGTTGAAATTAGAAATTCAATCACTCTAATTTTGCATATTTTAGCATCTTTTTACTTTTAGTATGTTATAGGTAGATCTAAATTCATAACATTAATTGTTGATGTTAAAGTGATTATATGAAATATTTTTTACATGTTTATCATGATCTCTTAAATGTTGCAATTAACTGGATTATTAAAATTGAATTTATTGAGTGATCTTGGTAAAAAGGATTATTCTTCTTAAAGAATTCGAGTTTTAGCATTCTTATCTCAACATAGGAATTGTGGATTTGAATACACTTAAGTGTGCATTAACCTCTTAAATATGAGTAATTGTGGATTGTTCAGACATTACATAAAAAATGTATGTGTAAATTTTAACATCGTAAAGGGACTTAAACGATATTAAACCAATAAAAAGGTTAATGGTTCGATGGGCCGGTTACTAGTGATATTGTAATAAAATAAACGGTTTTAATTTGCATCCTACAATGGGGCGATAATAGTAAAAACAATGTGACAAAATCTCCAAAGATAAGATTTAGGATTCACTCATTTTGGCTCCTTTGGAATTTGGGGATGAACCCTTCACATTTCACATTCCATTTATTGTTTTTTATTACAGCTTTCCATGAATAAGGAAATGTAATATTGAGAATTGGATTCGCTTGTTATTGAGGCTAATGTAATATATTTTAGTAGATCTAATTTATCATTTTCGTCACAATCGTATTTTCGCATCAATTTAACCCTTAAAGATATTTAATGGCATCATTCTATACCTTAACTTAAAATCCTAAATTATAAACCTTAAGTTGGGGTTTATGGTTCAATGTTCATGGTTTAGAGGTTACAAGGTTATAGTTTAGGGTTTATAATTTAGGGTTAGTTAGGGGTAGGGTATAGAATGATGTTATTGAGAAAATTTGAGGACTAAATTGATGCGAAAATATGATAGGATCGAAAATAATAAATTAGGTCTATTACATGACAAAAATTACTCTTTTGCCTTTTAATTAATATACACAAAAATACTTGAGAGTGTAATTAGAATATAAAGTTCTTTCTAACATTCTTCATATCTATTTTAAGATTCATGTTTGAAATTTATAATTGTATCTTCTAATAAAGTCATCTTCAAAGTTTGAACTTTTGTCCTCCATTTAGGGAAATTATTTCATGGATCCGACTAACTACGTGATCTATGGTCCTAATGAATTAGATTCATCAATTTTAAGATAATTTTTAAATAATTACTCATTTCTTATTTACACATAAGAAAAAGATGAAGATTCACCTAAAAATATAAGGTGGATAAATGTTATTAGTTGAGATTACAGATGACATGGTGAGTCGAGTTCATATAATAATTTCCCTCCCTTTTGAGAGTATAATGTGTGTCTCCACAAATATATCCAACACTTGTTGGTTAAAATGTAAGTTTGTTGGATTAGGGTTTGTTGGTTTAATTTGGATTGGATTGAGATAAAATCCTAGCTCCCTTCTCCTTCACATGTGGGCCACTTTTGGGCTTTGTAAATATTCTATTTGGGCCTATATTTGGGCGTTTCAATGTATTTTGTTTATTTAGTAGTAATAATAATAATACTAACGATGATAATAATAATAATAATAATAATAGTAATAGTAATAATAATAATAATAAAAAAATGTGATTACACTGAGATCATATTTTTACATATCACATTAAGTAGGAAAATGTGCAGCTCAAAATATCATAATTTATTAATATAAAAAGGACGAGTTTAAAACATAATGAATAATCAGATGACTATTTTATAACTCTAAATAGTTAAGACACTTAATGAAATAATATCTTATAGTTGGGGATCATTTATGTACTAACCATATATATATAATATATATATATATATATATATATATATATATATATATATATATATAATATATATATATATATATATATATATATTATGCGGAAAATAGGAAGGGAATGTGTGGAGGAGAAGGGGAGAGGAGGGAGGGTATAGTTTGCCATTTAAATGTAGGACACTTGAAACAGTGATGTGATGTGAGCCCCCCCCCCCCCCCCCCACAATTATTATTTTTTTTGGTTGTGGCCGTAGCTATACTATGTTCTCTTTGATTTATTGGTTATAATAATGAGAAGTTTATTTTTTTAAAAATATATTTATCTATCACGTTAATAAATGTTTTTAAAATAAGTATTAAACTCGTATACGATTGTTATCATTAAATTAATGTCATTTGTAAAATATTTTTCTTATTTTTTTTCGAGTTTATTATATAATTTACACTACAACGAAACATATTTGTAGCGATGGTTTTAATGGCGTTTTTAGAGAGAAAATAATTAATTTTTAGAGATCAGTGGGAGGAGAATTGAGAGGGGAGAATATCATTTTTGTTATCATCTTAAATGGTGATTCCTTGATGGTTACAAGTCGAACACATAGAAATGTTCAGATCACAGGCATTTGTGATGCTGAAAATGAAAGAAGAAAATTAATGAGAAATAGACAAATATCACCTTAACCAATAAATAAATAAATTTCAACTCTTTGCAATTAAAGGGGCAACAACTCGGAACATTTGGATACTATCAATAACACCATGCATGTACTATCCAATTTTATTTCCCCTTGCATGGAGAGAAAATGAAATCTTTTAGTGCTACAAGTAGAATTGATAATTATTTATTTATATATTCTTATATTTTATAATTATATTTAAAATATTCCATATTTGTAGTGTTTTATTTTTTAATATCGAGTTTTTGTATATCATTGTATTAATAGTATTAGGTTTAAATTTTTTTGGAAGGTAGATAGGGCATCGTTAAAAATTTATTCACAACTCAAATCGAGTTGAGACTCAATCGAGACATCGAAAGGAAAAAAAGAGTACTCATAATTTTAATTGAAATACCAAGAAATCAATCATTATCCGATACAAACTAAATATCATAGAACTACCTAAACATTGTGCAAAAATCTAAACCCTGCATACCACAACCCAAACTTATATCAAAGAAAAATCAATATTTCAATGGTTAAAGTGATAGTTGTTATCTTAAAGGTTTTGGATTCGAGCACCAGTAACCTCAATGTCCACCACCATTTCCATTAAAGAAGAGAACTCTATCTCAATGTAGAGATATTAATGTTGTGATAATAGGGTTTCCCCTCTTTATTCTGAATTGGAGTCGAGCTAATGTAATCCTCGATATAGTAAATTTATGGAATTGAAAATGAAAGAAGATATTCATTGAGAAATAGACAATTCACATTTATCAAAGAACAATAAATAAGTTTTAACTTTGCATGGTCTTACAAGATGTTAGAAAAATATTATAATAAAATGTAATTAGTTGATATTGAGTTAGTCAAAACTAATTGAATTTGTTAAAAGTTGGTTAGTCTGTTGGATCAAATTTGTTAAGCTTGTTTGAGTGGTGCTATATAAGTACCGTTTGTAATGGGTTGAAGGACCCCTTTCATTAATACACAGTATATTTGATTCGGTTGATTGTTAAGGATTAAATATAAAGATTGAAAGTTCAGAAGCTAAAGTGTGAACATTAAAGTTTTAATACCTAAGTGGAAACAAGAGAGAAATGAAGGGATAAAATTTATGATTGACCCACTAACCTAATAACCTCAAATAGTGGATTCTGATGAATAAGTATGCTAACATTAAAAGTTGTTATATGTAAGTATGATAAATTATATGCTTTAACTCTCATAGATAACTTTGTATGGTAATTTTGTTAATTTGATAAGTTTCAATAAGTTGATATGATGTTATGATAATTTTGAATATTTTATGTCATGCTTTGATTATTAGATGATCATGTGTTATGTGAAGTTGAGTTTAATGTATAAAATCGGATTAACTAAACTATGTGTTTCACTTTATGATAATGTGATCTTTCTGAAAAATCTATCATAATTGATTAAGACGAACTTTAATATTTTATAATTATGTTCTTAGTCATTTAATCGAGTCTTAGACACAATTGAAATACCATAAAATCTATAGTGCTTTGTACAAGTTTTGTATAGACTCTAGTATTTGAAAAAAAATTTAGGGATCTTTGATAATTATCATCAAAATCTTAAGGTATGTTCTCACATTTTCAATGTAAATACATTATTTTTGTGGTAAATTATTCAAATAAACATTGCAATGCACATCAAATCAAAACATATTTTAGCACCAATAAGTTTGATAAAAAGGTGCAGACGTAGACAAAAGTCATGATGTCAATACAATTTCATTAGTATAAATAACATAGAACTTTTTCTTAACATATTTTCCAAGATTATGGATTGTAAATTGAGGAAGAATCAATATTGAACCATCCACAAACTTCTCATTTTGATGATCCTTGATTGTCGATAACATGTTGTTTCTAATAAATAATTAGAATAATCTAAACAATAATCCTCTTATTGAAAAAACTAAGGTTATTTATGATTGAAAAGAATATTGTACAATCAAATTCTCTCTTACCTACAATAATAAATAAATCAATCATGATGAGAAGAATGCTGATACCTTGTAATAAAAACAATAATCACTTAAGAAGTTAAGACTAAGAGAATTTAAAGAGAAGATGATGTATTTTTAAGAATTAGAGCGTAAGTCTTTCATTTAATAAAATATCAATATATACAATTTTATATCTTAAACTAATAACCAAAATTAACAATGTAACCGAAAATATAACTATTAAATCAATTAATAAATTGTTTAACTAATTAACAATCACTTAACCATCCCAACAACAATAAATCATTAATCGCATGTTTAATTAATTATACGTGACTATTTGAGCAACTTTTCAAAATTTTAAAAATATGAAAAATCTATATTTTCAAACAAAATCTATATTTTCAAACAAAATCTATAAACAATTATTGAATTAGATTATTTTAGAGAATACTAATATAATGATTTTTTTCATTAAAGTATAAAATTCATAATAAAATCTTAAATTTCAACATATAAAGTTTTTATTTCAACATTAAATTTGATTGGATAATGAAAATGACTATCGCAACGCGAATTTGACTATCGCAACGCGAAATGAAAATCGCAACGCGAATTTGACTATCGTTGCGATTTTCATTTCGCGTTGCGATCCTCGGTTTCAAATAGTCATTATCTAAAATTGAAACTTGAATGAATTGCATTACTTCAACCAAAAGACAAAACAAAGACAAATATTAACTTTACAGGGTTAAAGACTAAACAATTTAGCAGTATTGGCAGCAATCGAATGAATTTAATAAGCAATCTAAGTGAAATGGTTAATCTATTATTGCAATTACCAGTAAACTTATCATCAATTTCAATATGAAAAACCTAATAATAATCCAAAAATTTCAAAATAAAAATAATTAAAAAAACTAACCATCAGCGGTTGATTTGGTTGATTTTCCATTTCTGATCGTGAATGATTGTGAGGGTGGCTCTGAGAGATGGAGATAGACGGATTTCGCCGGAGATGGGGACAGATTTCGTCGGAGATGGGGGCGGATGTCGCCATAGAGAGTGAGAATGGAGATGTGATTGAGTTATGATTTAGGGTTTTAGGTTAAGAGTTGCGATTACCGGTGTATTAATATTCGTATTTAGAATTTGAAAATAAAATACGCGTTGCGATACTAATGGTGCTTTGAAAATCGCATTGCGATTTTATATTATCGCGTTGCAATAGTCAGAATCGCGTTGCGATTATGTATTATCGCGTTGCGATAGTCAGAATCGTGTTGCGATTTACATATTCGCATTGCGATTTTACAAAATCGTACAAAATCGCAACGCGATAGTCAAAATCGCGTTGCGAATATGGAAACTGATTTGCGATACTGGAGATCGCGTTGCGATTTAGAGATCGCATTGCGATTTTGTTGGTCATTTTGGCAAATCAAAAAAAAAGTTGGTCAAAATCGTATATTATAAGGAATTTTCGGTCACTGAGGTTATTTTCTCTTGTTAATTTGATAAGTTTCAATAAGTTGATATGATGTTATGATAATTTTGAATATTTTATGTCATGCTTTGATTATTAGATGATCATGTGTTATGTGAAGTTGGAGTTTAATGTATAAAATCGGATTAAACTAAACTATGTGTTTTCACTTTATGATAATGTGATCTTTCTGAAAATCTATCATAAATTGATTAAGACGAACTTTAATATTTTATAATTATGTTCTTAGTCATTTAATCGAGTCTTAGACACAATTGAAATGCCATAAAATCTATAGTGCTTTGTACAAGTTTTGTATAGACTCTAGTCTTTGAAAAAGAAATTAGGGATCTTTGATAATTATCATCAATAAACATTGCAATGCATATCAAATCAAAACATATATTTTAGCACCAATAAGTTTGATAAGAGGTGCAGATTTACCGTAGACAAAAGTCATGATGTCAGTACACAATTTCATTAGATATAAATAACATATAACTTCTTTCTTAACATATTTTCCAAGATTATGGATTGTAAATTGAGGAAGAATCAATATTGAACCATCCACAAACTTCTCATTTTGATGATCCTTGATTGTCGATAACATATTTTGTTTATCTAATAAATAATTAGAATAATCTAAACAATAATTCTCTTATTGAAAAAAACTAAGGTTACTATGATGAAAAGAATATTGTACAATCAAATTCTCTCTTACCTACAATGTAATAAATAAATCAATCATGATGAAGAATGCTCTGATACCTTGTAATAAAACAATAATCACTAAAGAAATTAAGACTGTAAGAGAATTTAAAGAGAAGATGATGTATTTTTAAGAATTAGAGCGTAAGTCTTTCATTTAATAAAATATCAATATATACAATTTATATCTTAAACTAATAACCAAAATTAACAATGTAACCGAAAATATAACTATTAAATCGATTAATAAATTGTTTAACTAATTAACAATCACTTAACCATCCCAACAACAATAAATCATTAATCGCATGTTTAATTAATTATACGTGACTATTTGAGCAACTTTTCAAAATTTTAAAAATATGAAAAATCTATATTTTCAAACAAAATCTATAAACAATTATTGAATTAGATTATTTTAGAGAAGACTAATATAATGATTTTTTTCATTAATGTATAAAATTCATAATAAAATCTTAAATGTCAACATATAAAGTTTTTAATTCAACATTAAATTTGATTGGATAATGAAAATCAAAAAGCAAGAGGGAGATAAAAAAAGGACACAAAGAGTTGATTTTTCCTATTTCTTCCTAGACATTCTTCAACCCCATTGATCAATTGTAATGCTATTAATTGAAAATATTTCAAGCTTATCCCACCCATTAACCAAACCTATAAATTTAGTTATAGATGAAAGTAGGAAAGAAAAGTTGCAATTTTCAATATTTTTAATTGTTTTCTTTTTCCTTTTTATTAACATAAATTTTTGGAGTACACCAAATCTCCAATAATAATACATAAATAATGAACACCGAAAAAACATAATATTGAAATTAAAAGAAAAGGTTTTGGAATTAAGATGTTACTTTATTTCTTATTTTTCCATACACTCTTTATTGTTGATCATTTGCCCTCAAAACACAATTTAGATGAAAGAAAGAAGAAAAAGTAACAATATTTTTACGATATATATATATATATATATATATATATATATATATATATTCAAATAACATCATATTCTTCAACAAATGGCTGGAGCCATGTTATGCAGTAACCGGGGGCTTAACCTAAACATGAGAATACAAAAAACTCAACCTGGTTCAACGCTCCATCGCCATCCAGATCACCTTCACTCAGCATGCAAACGAGCTCATCGTCTCTTATATCGTCCAATCCGAGCACGACGCTGTTCTCTTCAAGCTCTCGAACGTAATCAGCCCTCGGTCGCCATCCATCAGCAGCCTGAACCCATTGCAAAGCTCCATTATGAACCCTTCCGCCCCCATTCGCTCACCATCGACGGAAAGTAATCCTCGAAATCGACCTCGTCCACCACCATTTCCATATGTTATTGTGATAGGCCTTCCCCTTGCTTTTGTTGGTTGGAGCAAAGCTAGAGGGAAGGGATTTGGGGATTATATAAAGGACCATTTTCAAGGGTTTTTTCCAGGAAAGAGTGAGTGGCTTTTGAAGCATGTGTGGAGCCCAAAATTTTTAGACAAAAGATCTTTTATAAATTTTATATAAAATATATCAAAAATAAACTTAATGCTCCTATTTTGTAAAAAAGGATAATTAATATTTTAAAATTTTTCGCATATCTTTTGGTTCTGATGTCGTAATTTAAATTTTTTGATCTAACGTTACTTCTAAGATAACTAAATGTACAAATAATAAGATAAAGTTTATATATATGGTGAAACAGTGAACTTCATGCACCTTTCAAGTACGTTGGCATGAAGCTAACATTGAAGACCCTACTTCGTGGAAGTTGCATGAGATATGTGTATATGTTTACAAAGTTGAACATACATTTACA